TTGCTCCGTACTCCAGTCACTATGCTGCCTGCACCATGCTAATCGGACTCTCCTGTCCGTAGATGTGAGCGGGACGCAAACAGCCGGTCTTCTGGCAAACAACCCTCTCTCATTCAGTCTTTTGGAAACGGTCATCCTTGTTACACAGGTTCCTGTGGCTGCATACAGGTCCCAAGAGAGCCGAGAAGCTGAAGCTCCTCTGTTACACCTCACTAAAATGGACAAATAGTGATCTTCTCTGGCCGTTGTGGCTCTTGGACGACCTTGCCCAGGCTTTCTCTCGATGAATCCAGTATCCTGGAACTATTTCCATAGGTTACACTTGACACTTGGCATTAAATTAAACTCTCTGCATATCTGGACTTGCGATTAGCCTCCCCACAATTCGCCACCTCATTCTGTCATCTAAACATTGTTGGTTACTCATTTTTTCTGTTCCCATGTGAATTTAACCAATTGCTGCAAGATAACACCAAGAAATTCACCAAGGTGTGCTAGCGAACACAATTCGTCTTACCCTCCACGCACTTATAAAGCCTGTTTTTCTGCTGTCTCCGCCTACACACACTAATGTACGCTTATGTATGTGCCGTACAAAATTTGTATTTTTATCTAGAAGCAGTGGTTTTTTTTTTTCCCCCTTTTAGTTTGGTTATTTTCATGCAGTTCGATAAAATATGCAAATTCTTGGGTCCCCGAGCGGTAAAGTCGCTGAACACTGGTAGTTCGGTTCAAGGTTCGAATCCCACGAACGGGCTGGCTGCATGGGCGTTTTCGTGGTTTTCCCCATGTGTAACGTGTATGCGAGCCGGCTTCCCTTAGAAAGTCCTCCACGAAGGCATCCCTCCCCTTAGGCAGATGGCCCTAGTATGCTTTGCCATTAGATCAGATTAAGAGAATTAAGATGCAAATTCCCTTAATTTATTTCACCAGTGTATTTAAAGTCTTTGTAATTGGTTTTTGCATTGGTGGATTTTTTCTTGTTACCAGCAACAATTTAACATCAGAAACGTTAGAAATCATATGTGTCTTTTTCAGGTCTTCTTTTCTTGTAGAAGTAATGATTGATTGTTTTTTCTTTTTCTGATTAATAATGTTGTGATTAATAATGTTTTGCAGTTTGAAATTTTAATACCATGTGTTTTGAAATGTTTTTCAAATATGGAATAGGAATATTTCTTTTTGGAATGCACAAAAACATATCTCTCAGTCTGCACAGCTTGTTTGCATGCAGCATTTTGAAAAAAACAAAGTGAAATACTTCATTTAAGAGTATCAGACAGTATTTCTTATTTAAAATAATAAGCTGTTGCCAGAAATTTTTATTCCCAAAGTCCCCCATTTTCTTCTTTTTTTTTTTTTTTTTCTTTTTTTTTTTTTAAGAAGTTTCTTTAAAAAAAATCCTCTGTCATTTCAGTTTTTTATGTGCATTTCAAATTTGTGTTGGCCATTAGAATGAAAATGCATAAAACGATATGTTTTTTCTTCTCCCATCCTTCACTGCGCATACCTTAATAAGAATTTCTTTCAACATGGAAATAGTGGCACTTTACTGATAAATAATACTGTCTACACATAGCAAAACATAATAAATATCGACATATGCAAAAAATTGCAGGAAACAATGAAATCTACAGATAAGGGAGTCAGAGAATAAATTAATACATAGAGAAATTGTTAGAAACTAAAATTTAAATAAAAAACCTTCTATTTATTAAGCAAATTTATTTCAGTTATTGTTTTCATAACAAGCTGTAGAAAAAGGAAAAAAAAAAAAAAGATTTCTTATCTTAAAATTGTCTTTTAGTTATTATAGAAAACCAGTTTTTTAAATGTTTATAAAATCATTTCCTAAATTCGGGAAATCTGTAAAACCTCCTGCGAAATTCATGAGAAATCCTAGAAAGAAAGAAATAACATGAAATGAATATTTATATGTGCACATTTAATGCACATGAAAAGATGTGCAACTTCAGTTGGTATATTGCTTTCATCATAATTTCTTGTTCTTATAGGACTCCTAATTCTCTTCATTAACAATGGTAATTCTTTTCATAAAATTTTTGCACTAATTTACTCAATCTAAAAGTTCTTAAAAGATTACACTGTGATTGTTTTTCTGAGTCAGCAGATATGGGACAAATTTTGTGGCAGTCTGGTGCATGTTTAATTTTAGGTCTGAATGTGATGATATAATCTAATCCAAATGTTGCATTTATTGATTTCTTCAAAATATTTCTAGCTTTTTGCTGTTACAGAATTAGTAGGGATAATTTTGCTTTAGGATTTTAGACATTGCAGCTTGGAAAGTTTAGAAGGATTTGAAGGCAAGATTTATAGACCCACGATTCTGAAAGATTCCAGAAATCTGTGACAATATGAAAAATGCCTCCATGGTATTAACACATAATGGATGTATTTTACAGAAAGTTTGTGATGAATTTCTTACTTTTTGGAGGACGTCTGGAAGAACACTGAAAACGTAATATTTATATGTTTTACTTCTGATACTAGAATCTTTTTCTTAACAAGTTTGTTTATCTTCTCTTTATTTTCTCTACTTTTTACTAGGCACAAGCATGGAAAATATCAAAAATGCTTCTAATCTTATCACATATACAGGCATTATAAAAAGGAATTTTTTTATTAATAAAGAAATTTAAAACTGATACTTTAAAAGATTCATATAATATGTTTTAATGCATCATACACAGACCTGGCGCTAGGCATTTTCCCACCTGATGCAATCTCTGTGGATCCTAAATTCTGCTAAATCTGCTTTCCAGTGCTGCTCTAATTCTAAAAGTTTTTTCATTTCTAGATTTTTTGTTGCTTGGTGTGTCACTAAATTCTAAAAATTCTGCCACACTAGCTCTGCCTGTTATAGAGCCATATATATTTCATATTTCTTCTGAATGTTCATATTGCTAAAGAAATAAAATTAGCAGTCTTTTTCTATACATTCTAAATGCATTTAGTTGTGCTAGAATAACAAATATCCATAATTATATAAAAAAATTCTAAAATGAAAAGGAAATGTGTTGAAGAAAACTAAATACACAAAGAAAATTATTCTTCAAATATATGTAGAGTTATTATTATGTAAATTACCCAGTTGTTCATGATTTCAGCCTTTATTATAATTTCTGATTTCTATTTCCTCATATGATAGAGTTACTGAGCCAGCTTAAATTAAAATTAAATTGTATAGTTTTTGACCTCTAGTACATATTTTCAATTTGAATTTGACTGTTCTTGTTTAATTACATTACCATGAGCTGTAATTGATTTTGTTAGCATCAGAACATGCCTTTACATTCTAAGACTTATTTAAACCTTTGTCTGACAGTGTAGTTACTTTCAGACATAGCAATAATTTGCTTCACATCTGTCTGGGGGTTTTGGACTATTTAACTTTTGCCAGCTCAAGTAAACCCTCATAGGTATATTGCGGAGAGTTTGAAAAGTTAGGAGATAAAGTATGCAGAAGCTAGTGAGAACAAAACATAAATGTTTTATAGCTTTTAATGTGTAATTATCCTAAAGAATCAATGTCATAAATTACAAATATTTTAAACTGGGAAATTTTATTAGATTGTGATTTTAATAAGGCTTTTTTAATGAATATTGTTAAAGGTAAATAAAACTTAATATTGGCTATATAAATCCATAATGATCAAGGTTATCTAACTACCCAATTTAATTATTTATAACTAACCTCTTACCCTAAAAAATTATCTTTGTATATTAAAGTGATGAATTTCATTAATCCCTACTGTGGTCACAAGATAAAACACAAAAATGTTAAAATTTATCTAAAACTTATTCTTTCTATCTAGTGAGACTTAAAATAATACAAAACAACTTATCACCTCTGGTGCTTTAGTGGCTTATTGGAACCTTAAAGTATATTAACTGGGTTACAACCCCTAGAACTCTACATACAGCTATGATACTAACTGCATCAGACAGAGTCCAACTAACTTTCAAAAGTTGCCAATTGTGCCTACACCAGGCCTTTCAAGTTTGTTCTAATCAGCTGGTCTCTCTCCTCAGGAAACCTTGAGCAAAAGCCTCAGCTTGGAAAAGTGAAATCACAGAACACCAGCGAGCCAAAAATCAACCATCGCTCCATAGATTGCTACATTACCATAAACTTACTTCACTGTATCACGAGTCTCGGTAAACATGTTTCCAGTTTGATGCAAAATGCTGTATTAATATGGTTCTTGTGAAATTTACTGGTCTTGAAAATGCTGGAAACGTACAACACACGTAGATAAAACAATGGAATATAATAATTAAATATAGCAAAAATACATTATAAACACTTTTTTTGGGGGGGGAGATTACTTTTGTACAAAGCCATGTATTGCATAATAGTATGAAATACTGTGGTATGCCATCCGAAACTGGGAAACTTTTCATATAGACTTTGTTATATAGAATTCTTTTTATATACAAAATACCAATCGGTTTAACTTTCTCTCTGACAAATGCTTATTAAATTTTCCAATTATGAAAATAAAATTAATCTATACAAAATTGTGACTGTAATATATATGTAATTACCAATAATTTATAAAAAAATCTATCCCAAACATCACATTTACATATTTTAATTTTAAATGAAGCTTTAACAATGTGGTATATGTGCTGTTAAATTAAAGCACTGCTGCTAATAATTACTGAATTATATATGAAATAAAATACTGAGTGAAATTATGAATAAATTGTTTTAAAATTGATTGTTGTTATTTGAGCTGAAAATAATCATAAATCACCATGTTTGTGTTTTTTTGGGAAGAGGGGGGGGTTACAGTCTTTTTTTTTTTTTTTTTTTTTTTTTTTTTTTTTTTTAGATACCTTTATTTTAAATAAATTTTAAATTATTTTTGTATATCACTTAAAAAGTATCTATATATTAAAGTTATTAAATATTTAGTCCCATTTCCCAGTAATTTACTGTCCTTAAGTTTTCTTTGTTTTGTCTCTTATAGGTTATATGTGCTATATACAGTTTTCCTATTACTTTGGATTTTCCAAACAAGAATAACCTCTACCTCCTTCTTAGTTTAATTATCATGTATTCATTTATGAGTTGGTGCTGCGGCAAAGTTACAGTAAGTAAAATATTTCACTGAATGTGTTATATATAAGCATTAATATAATATATATTATTCAGATATTTTTAATTTTTGTGTACCTTTCATTTTTCTTAATTTAATCGTAAGTTATTGGTTAAAAAAAGTTGTGTGTCAAATGAATTAATATTTACATTATTTCTATTTATTTTTTAAATAATGGTATTAAAAATTAAAAGTCCCAGTATATTGCCCATTATTTAATTTGCAGAATCTTATTAAACTTTCTAGCATTTGATAAAGAATAAAATATAGTATTCTTTGCTGAAAGATGCTCTGAATGGTATAGTTGTTAAAAAAGGCTGACTGAGTATCATGTCTGGGTTCAGGCTCAAATTTTTGATAAGATATCAACATAACGCAAATTGTTATTACATGGAGGCATTCAAAAACCATTGAACCAAAAATCTTTTAGTGATATTAATGTTGCAAAAAGGAGTACAAGTTTCCATCCTCTGGACTGCTTTTGGTCGATGAGCTGAAGCTTAGTCCTTAAGCGCTTAGTTTACTGAATTTTTCCAGTTCCTGAAAGATTGAATTTTTACACAAAATACTAATTACATAAAATACTCAAATTACACAAAATACTAAAATTAAGGTATTTTTAAATAATGCTTTTTTACACAGAAAATTTTTCCACGATAGATTAAAAAATTGAGAGTGCCTTAAAATGAACTATCCATAAAGGAGTAGAATGCTTGGTTAAATTTATTGAGAAAGGAAATAATTTCAGGTTCTGTGATTATACTTAGTAAGCAGAGTCTGGTACTGAAATATATGTATATGAAAAATTTTTACAAGCAGTAGCCATTGATGAGAATTTTCTGATGCTGTTAAATATGTTACTATTAAATGTAAAAAATACTAAATACTTGTAAATAATTTAATTTATAATTTCAGTTATATGCTTTTCTATTAAATACTTTGCATAATAATTTTAAGTTTGCTTATAGGCTGCTTGTTCTGCATTAATAGGTCCATAAGCATATTAGATTATTCTGTATGTGTTCTAGGTCTGCAAAGAGGACAAATACTTAGCATCTGGTTTTGTAGTCCTGTGCATAACATATCCATGCTTGGTAATTTATCAGGTAATTCTTTTTATTTAGTATGTAACTTTCATTCTTTTTTTCTCTTTTTCGTTTTTATTTTTCACATTCTTCAGCTAACTAAATCACTTGTTATTTATTCAAAGACAATTTTTGAAAATCTAAATAATAGAAAAATATAACACAACATAGCACATATTTCTAAGTAACTGTCAAATTTAGTTAGATATTTGTGGTCAACAAATAGATTAAATTCATATGTAACCTATAAACATTAATAGGAAAGCAATTAAATATTGGTAAAGACCTACTATTAATTATTTACTCCAAGTTCTGCTTGTTCTCTTTTCCTATGTTAACTAAATGTCTCAATATTATGTCAATTCTGTCTTTGCACAAGGAATATTTTGTTTTACTGTGGGGCATCATTATTAAATTTTTTCAAAAAATATATTTAATATTTTGTAGGGAAGGAAAAAGGACTTCTTAACTGTATAACTTCTGTTGAAATAAATGACAAAATAAAATTCTTATGTTTGCATTATAGAAATACATATTTCATCTAAGGAGAGAATGCAGCATAGCTATTCAAATTTCCTGGAATGTCAGGATAGTTTATTTCCAGTTAATCTTATTTTCTGAAGTCCTGCTGTATTTTAATATGATTTAAAATGTATTGAATCAGTTTTAAAAGAACACTCAAATTATTTATTTGAAATTAGCACTTTCTCCAACAATGTATATAGGATAATGGACTCGGACTTGTTTTACTTCCCAAGCCATAGGCTTTTTTGTCCTGATTTAAGGTCTTTACTTTCTATATGTTTAAAAAGAATTTTCACTAGAATTTGTCTAAGAGTATCATTATTTTATATTTTTAGTATTTTCTTTTATAAATTCAGTTGCATATTGTTTGTTTTATTTTAATATTTTGAAAATTATTTAAAAACTAATTTTCATTATGCCAGGAAAAAAAATTCGCATAATAAAATACTCTGATGCTTTCTCATATGTGCAGAATTCTAATTTTTGAATCAATATCGGAATGTAAAGTATTATAAGAGTAAGACCATTTTAAAATTTGAAATTTTGAGCATCACTCTACAATTTACAGCACAGTATTCTTAGCAATATAATTTTAGAAAATCTAGCTATGCTGGCTGTGTGTCAACTTGTGCAAGTTTATTTAAACAAGATTCTGCAAAGGGTGTTTACACATTTGTAGATTTGAAGACTGTTTAATTAATGTTTAAAGTGTAAAAAGTATTTTTTTTAACCATTTGATCTAATACCCTTTTTTCTGGATAGTAAGTCTGCATCATAATTTGCATGATAGAAGGGTTTTTTTAAAAGTTTCCTGGTGTTTTGTTTTCTATTTCTCTTTCACTACTTCCCGGAGTTCATCAATTGCAGTAGGTTTTCTCTTAAAAAAAGCTGTTTTCAAGAGACGAAAGGCACAATAATTTATAGGTGAAACATCGGGAAACTTCACAGGAATACTTTGAAAAGTTATATATGCAATACCTGTATCAGTCTTTACATTTTCAAGCAATGTGTTGGTGCCTTTTAAAGTATGACTTCTAGCTTTGTCTTGATGATGTTTCACGTCTTTGAAATTCATTGAGATAAAGGCTTTTGATGGAATTCCTTCTGTCAATTTCAGAATTAAAAATTTCTCTTGATAGTATGTTTAGTTGACTTTAACATTTTCTCCACTCTCCTTATTTTTAATTTCCAATTGTAAGAGAATGTTGCTACAATCATAAACATCTTACTAAAACTTTTTTTTGCATCGACAGAGCTAGGTTTGTTAATTTTTCTCTTTCTTTTTGATAATAAATAGAACTTTTCCAGTCATTTAGTTAAATCCATGCTTCATCATAGGTCACAATGTATTTCCTTTTATCTTTGCTAAATAATTTTCATACGATGTTTTACAAATTTTTCTGCATTGAGCTACTATGTCTCAGCAAAGGTGGTAAGCAGTAATTTTTTTTTTTTTTTTTTTTTTTTTTTTTTAAGTTTAAACCTTGGTCTATATTTTTATTTATTATTGCTTACAGATGTATTTAAAGGATTTGCAGTTGATTTCTGCATCAACAGACTTTCTCTTGTTAACAACAGTTTAATATTAGAAACAGTATGTACCTCTTGTCAGTATTTGTTTGGAGTCTTCTCTTCATGTGGAAGTAATGACTGATGGTTTTTTCCTTTCGGATTGATAATGTTGCTGATTTTGCGCTTTGAGATTTTAATATCCTGCATTTCACAGCATTTCTGAATTCTGGAAGGAAAGCGCAAAATCATATTCTTCAATCCACAACTTGTTTATATGAAAGATTTTGAAAGGAGAATAAAGTAGCAGAATGATGTAAATGGCCTTTGTGCAATTGACCTCTCCACAAAGTATATAAAAATAGTATTATTGTTTGTACTGCTAACTTAATTCTTGTGAATAGCATAAAGTATTATGTAGAATTTAGTTTTCTTTATTGAGAAATTTTTTAAATAATATTTAAAAACTATTACACAACTTGCAGACTTAAAGAACTTGCATTTAGTTATGTAATTTTAGTTTCAAACCAAAACGTACTGAAATCTCGTAAATTCATTTGATCTCATGCGAGTATAGATGTCATTTGTTTTAAATGGCTGTGTTTTGTTTAGTCTTTATGATATAAAATTATGCATCAAAATAAAAGTAATTTTCTTGTATACAGTTTCATGTTTTTTCTTATACTTTTGCACCTATACAGTTTTTTTTTTTTTTTTTTTTAAATTTTAATTTTGTGAAATAAAAAGTTACTTATATTTTATGGTTTCTAAAATTCATTTGATTACAAGTAGACATTTACAATTGAGTGCATGTGAATTGAGTTAAAAAGGATAGAGACCAAATTGTGTGTTTTTCCTCTTTGATGAACTTATAATATTGTAGGCTATGAAAATTATGTTTACATTGCCTTCCTAACAGTGCATTTTATACATGTTATTTCTCCATAATTTTTCCTGTATTTTTGTATTTTATTGAAGCATTTTAAAATTTGTTCTTTTAAATTATTTTTTTTTCTAGATGTATATGTCAAATCATAAAACTTCTGTTGGACAATTTCATCTCTCTGCTCAATATATAGGTAAGAAAAAATATTGAGAAAAGTGTAATAGAAAAGAATGGCTGATCATTTATCAAAATTTAGAATGCACATGTATAAAAATGCCGTGTATACTGTAAATGTGATGAAAATTATGATTTCAAACACTTCTCTCTCTCTCTCTTCTTTTTTTTACCCTCAAGAAAGAGTGATATTAGTATTATTGAAATGAGTGTATGTCTAGATGTTTGAAATGGTGCTTTATGCGTTTTTCATTTTAGCAGATTATTTAACAAAAATAAATCTATTTCATTTTGTATTGAAATCATTGCATAAGTTTCCATAATAATTAGTTATACATACAATAGCTATGTCTAGAGGGAAGAGGGAACCTTATTCTTCAGAAAAGTCAAAAAGCAGAATATGTTTATAAGGTTTAAAAGGTTTTTACTTGTGGTTTTACTTGGAAATACTTGTGTATGCTTATATTTATTTGTTCCTCTTTTCTATAACATATATTTTGCAGGAGGTTAGGTATTTTTTATAAAATTAATAATACTTTAGCAATAGGTTTCTTAGGTATATGATTTATTGGAGTAACACCGTAAAGCTAGTTTTAAGTTTTGTGTTGTTTAACTCTGTGAATATAAAATAAATTTAGCATGATAGTTTATAGGACTGCCATATTATCTGCATATGTTCTTCATATTATCTCCATATGTTCCAACATATGGTATGACTGCCATGTTTTTGGCTTACTTTTTAGTATATATGCATCAGTAACCAACTCAATTGCAAATACAATCCATGTGTTTGAGTTCATAGGGATTTAGATGCTTTATGTTTAACTATCATTTTGCTGAATAGTATTCACGAGTTTAAGTAAGTTTAAGTATTAACCACATGGATTTCTCTTTCTGCCTGTAAAATTTGTTTCTTGTAAAATACTTCTTTTATTGTTATTTATGAACAGAACAGAACCTATAAACCATAAAAATAAGCAATTAAAGCAACAAACTATTTTAAGGTATTCATAAAGTTGGCTATGAGTTGGTAATTTTTTGTGGGGGTGTGGAAAATCAGAAAGCACTAGTATTATTTATTATGTTGTAAACGGCTTGAAGAAATATATTACAGGTAGCATGCTAAAATGTTTTCCGTAGTTTTAGAGTGCAAAATAGAGATATAAATTATTTATTAAAATATGGCCTATAAATAAGTTGATATATATATGTGATAGGAGAAAATTTTAGGACTATTTAATCTGTACTCGCAGAGAAATAAATTTAGAGGTTTTCTGGGGTAAGAAGGAAAAATTTTAAAACATATGAGAGACATTGTAAGAAAACTCTAAGTTGATGATGTTTATGTAATTTTAAAGTAGTAATAAGCAATTAATGAAATGGTGCAATCTATGAAAGTGAATCAGATTTTTATGCAAATTTCAGATTTCTTTGCTTTTTAAAATACTAAAACTACTACTCCAAAATAAAAAAATACAACATATTAATCCTTTCAGTTATCATGTACTGTTGTAAAGAAAATAAAAAACATCAACATGCAGAAGCAGTTTACTAATTTTGACTTCATCTTAGGATCTGAGTAATGGAATGTTATGTATGATGTTTTAAAAATGATCTATTAAACAGCATATATTTACATAATGGGAGAAACACAAAATGGGAGAGACATATAGAAATGTGTTGAATTCATGCTGGATAATATGTGACAACATGCTTTGTTTTTACTTAGGTAATTCATTTATCTGAAACTGAAAAATATGTGTAAGCTTGAATATTTTACATGTTTTAATATTCTCTAAAATCTGTTTCATAATTAGTAAATACTCAGGGTTCGTAACGGTCCTTACAAGTGCTTATAAGTCCTTATATTTGAAAATAAAATATAAAGGCCCTTATAGGTGCTTACTTTTTCTTTTAAAGCCGTTATTTTTTTGTTTTTAGTGCTTATTTTTTTGCTTTTAATGCTCTTTTTCAGTCCCTTTTTTTTAATGAACGCGCATTTTTCCCCCCGTACCAAAGCCGAAATTAAATAAACAACTTTTCTTCCTTAATGCAACGTCAGATGGTGAATCATACTCCCGGAAATTGCTTTTCCCCCTTTCTCTGCATTAACATAACCAATGGTGCGTGTGAGAGAGCAGGTGCACGTTGTTCTATTGGTCAAAAAATTGCAAAAACGGTAGAAAATTCCGGTACATTTGGTATTCTTTTCCTCCCACCCAAATACTACACACGTTTGAATTTCTATCAAGATTTTAATAATTTGCATTCTCATTCCACATATCAAAATGTCAAAATCATTTATTTAGCCGAGAAATCTAAAGAAGGCTACAATCTCCCCCCTCCTCTTTTCCAGTTACTATCTGGAATATTGGCAATTTCCGAGTATGCGGGTTAGTAAGGCTTTACTGTTAAAGGACTGACTGCATGAAAGCAATTTTCCGTCTTCTGATTCAGAAATGTGCCTCTTTTACTTAAATACTTTGGCTTGGAATATATGTTTAAGGGAAAACTGTTATGGCAATGAAAATTTAGAAAATGTTCAGAATTTTGATTTAAGTTAAATTATTTAACTATAATATGAGTGGAAAAATAAATGTATTTATTATTAGGTGCCAAATGAATACAATTAATATGGCTTATTATTACTTATTTTCTATATTTTGAACTGAATTTCATCATTAAATCTTGTAATATAGTTTAGTTCTGTATAGTTTTTTTTCTCTCTCATTGTAAACTAATTCTGTAAATTGAACTGTCATTTAAAATTTAAAAAAAAAAAAAAAATTAATTGTTTTCCATGGTTGAGGTAATGCTCATTCTCTTAATAAATATTGCATTGCTCATTTTTAAATTATAAGTTTAATTTTTCTTTTAAGGTTATGCAGTTGTGTATAATGTAATTAGACAGGTGCTTATTTTTCCTTAAAATGTGCTTGAAAAGTGCTTATAGGTGCTTATTTTTTTAACTAAAACGTGGCTACGAACACTGATACTGTTTTTGCTATATGACTTGAGTCTTTTGCTGAAATGTAACAATGAAAACTTTGGGATTTTTTTTTAAAAAGAAGTAACTGATTTTAGCCAAGCTGATTGTTAAAAGCTGGAAGTGCAGAGGAAATCTTCATAGTATCAGAAATTTCATTTGAGAGAGGAGGCACTGTATTATGTTATAACTATTTGGCAATGAAAGTAAATACTGCATATGTTATTGTAATTAAGGTTTTTTATATTTAATTTTTGGAAATGTTCAAATGAAAGTTGTAAGTCGAAGTTCCAATACTTTTAAATTCTAATAAGATTAAAAGCATTAGAAATAAAGTATAGCGTCTGAATGGCTTTTAAAGTACTTAAATGGCTCTGCGCAAATTCATGATTTAGAGTGTCTATATTTTATATGGTAATATTGGTGTACTTTGAATAATTTATGTATTATCACACATGCTTTTATGATAAAAAGGTGTATTAACTGCATGAATAAAGTTCAATATAGCTAAATCTTTTGATTTACTGTACATTGCAGTCTTTACTTTTTGTGCAAATACATATTATACATATATTATTTTCATAGAACTGTCTCTTAGTAGGAATTAAATGATAAATATTAAATTTTTTTTAAGTGTTTTAAAACCATCAGAAACTGCGAATGAAAAAATTCATAAACGTAGCACTATTTTAGTGATAATCGTATAAATCACAAAATGGGGGGGGGAAGGAGGGGAATGGGAAATATTTTTAGTCTACTACTGCTGTTTGTTAATTTATTAAAGTATGTTAAAATAAAAATGAGAATCTGAATTCTTACATTTGAAGTTGTTTTTTAATAAAATAGTTTATGAAAGGAATTTGGATATATTTTGTATCTTCTATTCTTTTCATTTTTACTAGTGCTTTTCATAAACTTAAAACTACAGATGTTACATAAAATGTATATAATGAACCTTTATTTAGTTATTTAATTTATGTTATAGGTATCATCATAATTGCTTGTAAATTCCTCTTGTCATGCTTGATGATACAGACTTGTAGAACATTTGGATATGGATTAAACACAAGATGTAAGATTTAAACTTTTTAAAAGTTTTAAATGTATTATAGCCTATCATTTAATTGTTCTTAAATTCCTTCATGATAAATACTAATTTATTTTGTCATATTCTTATATTTTAAATGTTTACTTAATATCTTCATTTTATTATTTCCTTGTATTTTATTTTGAATCTTTTATTTATTCCTAGCTTTTATTTTTTCTGTGATGTAATTAATTTTTATTCTTGTTTGCAGCATTCCATGATTTAGTTTCTAGGGATTCAAATAGTTTATTAGCATACTCGCGATCATCTTTACTATACTGAGTGTAAAGAATGTTTATTTGCATGAATATTTTGAATAGAATGGAATGTGCATGGAATCGCATGATTATCATTAGTGTCATCATTTTTTAATGATCAGAATTAAGACTAGAATCCTCATCGAGCGCACATATTTTCCAGCCTTAGATATTTTGAAAAAATGGTTGGATCGCCCTTCCAAGAAAAAGCCAGCAAGTGAAAGAATGATGTGGTTCAAATTCTTGAAAGAGTGTTGTCATCTCAAGTGTTCCAATAAAACCAAAAAGTTGGAATACACATACAAGGATATTTATAGATTTTAGCTGTGTGTTTCTGAGGACCAGGAAAAACTTATATTTATTTTAAAATGTGTTTGAATTTGTTTTGGTAATGAAATAGGAGTACAAATAAAATTCCCACCAGAATATTTGCTTTTTAGAGATTTAGTTTTAATTTTCTTCTATTCTTTAAAATGCATTGAACATCTCATTAACACTTTAATGATGGGAACTTCAGTTGGTGTTTTAATAATTAATAAAATTTCAAATTACTGTGTCATTATTGATAATTAATCAAGATTGAAATTTGGAATATGAACACACATTATCAAATAATAAAATTAATTATTATTATAATAATTTGTAAAAATTTTAGCTGAAATGCTTCTTGGTATTTCTGTCATTAAAGTGTTAATATACTCTGTATTAAGTCAAAATATTCAAAGAAATATGATTCCTTTATGTTTATTTTGAATTTCACATTAAAAATTAATCTTGAATATACAGTGAAGCAATATAAAAGATGAGTTGGTTGGTTAATAGCATATCAATTTTAAATAAAATTTTGCTCAACAACTGTATTGTGTATTGAGCTGTTTTTAAACTGTTGTATGTTACCATCTATAAAAGTGTGCTTAGTACTAGGGCCTATCTCTTTTCTTTAAAAATATGAGTAGAAAGTTATAGATAACAAATATAAATTTCTCTTCTTAATCTGGTCCTCGAGAATGGGAACTATTTCAGAAATGTAATTTTGATAGATGCATTTAAGATTGATTTGCATTTGTTATGTATTAGCTGTGTGGCTGGATTTAGTGTAATTATATAAAATCAAACTATTTTTTCAAATGGTTGCACAACTTAGCAATTGTGATGTGGTGAAATATATTAAAGTTTAAATAAGCTTACATTATTTATAGATTTGCACAATGCAGATTAATATATCCGTCTCCTTATTCCTGGTTTATTATATATGCATTGTTTTTCTTTAATATCTGTTAATTTTTTGCTTATAGAGTGTTGCTACTGTGTATTTTCTTGGGAAAAGCTTGATAAATCCATAAAATAACATAGAAGCATATTACAAGTTTAGGATATAATTTCTGTCTTTTAGGTGTTTCCATGATTATACTGTAATGTAATTGACCTTGTATTGAAAAATCTAGATTTGGAGGAAACTTTTACAAGAAGATAATTGTTATTTCAAAATCTAATTTAATTCATTTGTAATATTTATATTTCATATAATCTGGTAATGTTCAAGAAGCTATTTTGTGTGATAAAAGTAAATATCTTAATTTTACTACAAAAATATTGGGAATATCCCCCCCCCAAAAAAAGAAGTTCCCCCCCTCCATGTAAGAATGGTTTTGCAATATTTTCCACGAAATCTTTTCCATAAGTTGCACATGCTCGGAAAGTTTACTCTAGTCTTACATTTAAGTCATGGTCATTGAGTGCAATAAAATTCTGGAAGTCGTATTTTGATTCAGAAGTGATATACCGGTTTCTTTTTTTAAATATTCTAATTTAGAATTTCCAAATACTGAACCAGTGACAACAGATTTCTTTAATTTTATAGTATCCAGTTTATAAATGTATTTCAGTTGTTTTGAAATATTGCTGTAAAAATATGTATTTATATTTGAAATTTGTTTAATAAAGAGGTTACTAGAAAAGTATTTCCATACTAATCTCTCAAATATGTATCATAAGCAATTTTCTAGACAAACATTTACATATGATACTTCATCCTATACAGAAAACAAGTAATTTTAAATTTGTCACATTTGAGTTTCTTCAAAATTGTCCAAATTTTTATTTATTGTAGAAAAAGGAACACTAAAACTGTAAATCATAGTTCATTGCCTTCATCGGTTAAGTCTTTTGAGAAAATGTCAACAGCATGTGGTGTTCCCAGGTGATCAAACTTTCAGAAATAAGTATTTTCTAAACATATTATTTTTTGCTTGAGAGCTGTATTTGATAGTGTATATAACTTCAATGTGTTTAGTTAGAAGTTTTAATTTATCAGTTTATTTGAATATGAATTTAATTGAATAATATTTATCACCTGGAATTTAGATAAATAAATAAATAAAATTATTGTAAGCAACACTGTTTATGAATGATTTTTGCATTCAGATTAGGATAAATTAACTTATGCTTTATGAAACTCCCTGAAGAACATCTGAAAAGTAATTTTTATTTGAAACTCTCTGTTTGGGAGAAGAAATTTTATTTATGTAAAAAAAATGTGAATTCAGTTTGAGTAAAACTGTGTTAGATTCTTTTTTTTTTTTTTTTTTTTTATTTTTAATTAAGGAAGTTAGAGTTCAAGACAATCACTCAGCTGTTTTAAATAAACTTTTCTGGCCTTTTTCCTTATGGGTTTCGATTCATATTGTTGAAAGAATTATTGCATTTATTCGTACAACCAACTTCTTGTCATACCTGCTTTTATTTTCTAGCTCTGCTTTCTAGAGAAAATTAAAATATTCATATAAAAGTCCCTGAATAGTAAAATATCTACCATTCTACATCTGTGTGTTGTTCACATTCTTGTTACACTTTATATAAGGTAGGCTGTCTTTTTTTAATATTCAGCCTATGAAAAGCAAACTTAGGTACTAATTGTTCTTCCAAGTTTCTTAACTGTAATTAGATTAGAAATACTTACCTTTTATAAATATATATTCTAACTGTAATTCTAATTAGGAATTGTAGTATAAGATGTATAGTATTTGAGCTGATATATTTTACCTTTTATGTAAAACAAAGAAAGAATTTGCTTCAGCATTTTTTTCTTAGATATACACTTCCGTTTAAAACTTAAAAAATAAATTAATAGTTCCTTAGCAAGTATAACTATTTCTATTTTAGCTGTAAAATATTTACATTATTTGTGCAAATATCATGTTAGAAATTTGTTTCATATAAAAATGCATTTCTAATGCAGATTTTATTACTTATATTTAAGAAAAATATATTGGTTCAGGGCATAATTCTGTGCATTTTATTTCTTTATAAAATGTTAAGCATTTACTTTGTCAACTTTTATATATCAAGCATGTACATTAGCAATGGAACTCCATGAAATGCTGAGGATTTTCTCATAAAAATTGCTTTAGTTTAATGTCAAATAGATTAAAGTTTCTAATGAATGCTCTTTATTCAAAGTTAGCCAGTCTTATGAAAGACTGGCTCATTAGGAATTATACTTGAAGTAGTGCTTTTACTTTAACAGTACATCAATTTTATGCATAAAATGTGTATAAGATACTTTTAAATTTTTTTGCTTAGCTTATATTTGCAAATATATTCAAATAGTTTGAAATTTCAAGATGTAAAATGTAGAATTGCTGAAAGCAAGAAAGCATAATTTTTTAGCAAGGTGTTTGAAAAATGGTTTCTAAATTTACTAATAAACAGTTGACATCTGTTTTTATATCACAGTTCTGTAAATTTGATATACTAGTAAGGTAACTGGATTACTTTTGCAGTACTTTTTTCACAAAATTACACAATAGAAATATTTTCTCTTTCATTACAATCCTCTCTTCATTCCATACATTTCATGTAAATCTTCCAATATTGGAAACAATGTTGCAGGTCATTTTCCAATAATTTCTTCATTCATTATTTTATCCTTCATCAGTATATCGAAATTTCGTTTCATTTAATATAGACTTTTGGAAACAGAAAAAAATCACATGGAGGACCATAGAGAAGTCTGAGAACTTGTGCTTAGCCATAAATGAACAGACAGGTGCTTTCCATAGTGAAGAGACTTGAGTTCTTCACACATCGGGGTATTTTCTGTTTGTATGTTCATGATGACTTATTCATATCTCCATGTAGTAGACTTGGGTTACTGACTTTCTAGTATCCATTTCATGGGAGCAATTCTTGGATATCAAGAAAATAATCATCGTTACTTTAGCTGGATTTACTTTGATAAGCGCTCTTAGCTTTTGCTAAAGAGGAAATTTTGTGCTACTTGGGTTCATGTTTAGTTTCAGATTCATACAGAAAAACCAATGATTCATCATGGGTTGTAACATGTTTTAAAAGATTTGGGTCACTTCTAGTGTTTTGAAAAATATTAGTACAAATGTTCACTCAAATTTCCTTCTGTTTAAATGTCTGGATTCTCTCAACTAGTTTGA